TTGATTGAACTAAAAATTATTTTAGAACATTGGGTATGTGGTACTGAAAAGAATACTTCAGTATGCTAGAAGCCAAATACTGGATTTCATAGAAAAAATATTTTAGGACTATGACTAAGCCAAAAATTATTTTAGAATAATGGGTGATATTAAAAATTTGGAATGCTTTTTGCCCGATTTTGTAATTAAAATACTGTCACCTTGATATATTTTATAAAAAATCTTGTCCTTTGACTAGTTCTTTTCTATTTTTTTCCGAATGTATGACTTTTCCAAATTATTTAATAACAAATTATTTAAGCCAAATTCCAACAAAAGTAGTGACGTTCAAGTGCTGGCTGCTCAACAGATTAGACTTTAATTTGATTCCCAACAACAACCCCGGTAATTTCTTTCTTATTTATTTTTGATACAATCCAACTTCCATCTGTTTTTTTTTTTAATTTTTTTTTTTTTAGTTTTGGCTGCGAATTTCCTAGTACTATTAGAATATAATAATAAAACACGATTAAAAATAAGAAATAATTGAAATAATGTGAAAAAGATCCATTATCTATCATCGTACTCGTCTAAAAAAAATCATCGCTGGTTTTCTATTTCCATTTACAGGATTTTCCACCACCATCCGGAAACAAAAATAAAAAAATTAAATAAGAAATTCCAAATAATATGAAAAGGAAGAAGGATCTTTCATTCACGTACTTGTGTTAAGAAACAAAAATTCTTTATGACAAAATTTGAAGCAATTTGACAAAACCGGCAAATATTGATTAGATCCAGTTTCACCTAACTATTTCACGTTGTTACTTGTTAAAGGGAGAAAAGAAATTTTGAACTTGCTTAAACATTGAAAGATTTCTTTTATATGGGGCTAAAAACAACTATAAATATTGATTTTTAAACATCAAAAGCACGATTTGAACCAACGTATAAATTAAATAAACTAAAATAAAAATTGATTTATATTAAATATAATATCACTGGAATATGATTATTTGATGCATTAATCGTTTACCGTAAAAACTGAAAATAAAATGAAGTTACCAATTTTTCTTGAAAATATAAAAATGCGTAAAAAAAATTTCTTAAAATATAGAAATTAACAGTTCTCTTAATTTTTAATCATTTATAGTTTTATTTTAAAAAAATTATTCGAAAATAAAAGTGATTATATAGAATTTCTAATACCCTTTCATCTAAAATATGCGTTAACACGTAGATTGGTCCACATCAAGCATTCCCCATTTCATAAACACGTTTGCCTTTTGTTTCCATTTCTTGCTTCTTGTCTGCTTCAGATCTATTCCGTTCAATTTAATTAAAGGAACTTAAAAAGCATATGGTGTAAAATTAAAGTAACTTAGAGCATCTGATTTGAGTTGGGGTAGAAACTAATTAAAGTTTGATTTGAATCCTAAATAACATATATGATTTCAATCGATTTGTCATATTTATTAGTATTCTTCTGAATAAATTATTATTTTTTTAAAACTACCTTTATTGATTGTACACTCACCCATCAACAGTATTATTAATAATTAAATTCTAATAGATACAGGACATTTGCTATACATGAGTATTTTAGGAAAATTATGTCAATTTGTAATCATTAATTAATCTATCTAATTTTCTTAGTATATTCAAATTAGTAGTTATACAAGTAGCTTTTACATAAAAAACTTAATGAAATATTCTCCGTAGTTTTCAATGTAAGACTCATTTTGTAGTATAAATTGCACTATAAGGTATGTCTTATATTAAACACTGAAAGAGTATTATATATTTTAAACCATATTAACATGAGTGTAAGAAATAATACGACAACGGCTATAAATATACAATGCGTCTAAAGTAAGCGAACTGTGAGCCAACCGCAAAAGAAGATGCCCTATGATATTTACGACAATTGAGTTGTTCCCCTGCAGGACGAGGTTTTTTCTTTTCCGAATGTGTTTTTTTAAAAGAAAAGGTCAAGTTTGTTTTCTTTTTCTTTTTGTTTTTTTCTTTTCGGTAACATATCACGATCCTTTTCTTGGTACCTATTAATATCTGAAACCATACGAACACGTAAGGAATAAACGAAAAGTTAGCCTATAAATAGAGAATGTGTGAAGAGCTAGTGAAGTGTGAGAGCGAGCTGAAAACCAAGAAGTAACAAGCCACTGCTGCCCAGGTAAGCGCAAGCAGTCTTTGTTTCTTTAGCTGAAATGCATATTTTAAATTTCTCAAACTGCAAGAATTGGAGATTACAGTGATGAGAAGAGAAAGGTGCAAGATTTAGATATGAGTGTTGTGTTATTTTAAGTGATGCCTAATTAAAAATAATTGTGTTGGACAAGGGCACATATTCAGTCTGATTTGCACAAATCCAAACAGACACAAACAATCAAACGTGATGTATAAGTTTAGAACTTTGGCGCAAAAATTACTAAAAACAAGATTTGCATAACAAGATGGGGAAAATTCTGTAAAAGAAAATTCCTATAAAAAGCATATGGTGCTTTCATTCCTCCAGGGAAAGAATAGACTCGATTCCCCAATTATATAATACTCTCTTGCGTAAAAAAGAGTTAAAGCGGCTGGTTTTAGTTTTAAATGCTCTCATCTAAGATGTAGAAGCTAATTAAGTAAAGATTGATTTTAATCCTAAATATATGATTTTAAACTTTATTTCTCATTTTTTCTCAAACTACTTTAATTGATTAATATTCGGTCATCACCATTATTACCAATCAAATTCAAATAGATACAAGACATTTGCTATACATGTATATTTTAAAAAGAATCATGTCAATTTGTAATCATTAATTAATTTATCTAATTTTCTTAGTATATTCAAATTATTAGTTAAGTAGCTTTTACATTAAAAATTTAATGGATAGTATTAAATAATTTAAACCATAAGAAATGATACGACAATGGCTATAAATATACAATGCGTCAGGAGTAAGTGAACTATGAAACAACTGCAAAAGAAGATACTATATGATACCTAAGGCAATCAAGTTGTTCCCTTACAGCACTATCTTTTTTTAATGTGTACGTGCTTTTTTAGTTTTTTAAAGGAAAACTCAAGTTTGCTTCTTTTTCTTTTTTTCTTTTTCTTTTTTTTTGTAACATATCTTAAACCAAACGAACACGTAAGGAATAAACGAAAAGGCTATAAATATATAGAATGTGCGAAGATTCCGTGAAGTGAGAGAGCGAGCTGGAAAAGAAGAAGTAACAAGCCATTGCCATCACAAATTCACATCGAGGAAGAAACAATTAAGCGCAATTAATCTCTGTTTATTTCGCTGAAAAGTGTATTTTAATCTCACATCACAAACTGAAAGAATTGATGATTACATACAAGATTATACACTATACTGTATTAATTCGGTTAATTTTTAAAATGAAACTAAAGCAACTAACAGTTTGTTCTTCAATATCAAACGCATGATTGAACCAACGTATAAATTAAATAAACTGAAATAAAAATTAATTTATATTAAATGCATATAATATTACCAGAATACGAATATTTGATACATTAATCTCGTTTACTGAATAAAAATTGAAAATAAAATGAAGTTACCAATACTTTTTTGATAATATAAAAAATGCAACAGTCCTCTTAATTTTTTAATCATTTATAGTATTATTCAAAAGTAAAAGTGATTATAAGTAATTTTTAATACCCTTTCAGCTAAACAAAATACGAATACCTATTAACGGTTGAAATAATTACAGCAAACAAGGGAATATATATATTCAGTTTGAGCAAATCTAAACAGTCAAACATTGGCATATGATTTTTTAGAATTTTGGTGCAAAAATTGCTAAAACATAAGATTGTTTCACGTCAAGCATTCCCCATTTCATAAACACGTTTGCCTTTTGTTTCCATTCCTTGCTTCTTGTCTGCTTCAGATATATCTATTCCATTCAATTTGAAGGATCCTAAAAAGCAAATGGCGCTTTTGTTCCTTCAGGTAATAGTTAAGTAGCTTTTACATTAAGAACTTAATAAAATAGTATTAAATATTTTAAATTAAACCATATGAACATGCATGTAAGAAATAATACAACAGTGGCTATAAATATACAATGCGTCAGGAGTAAGTGAACTGTGAGCACCAACAAAAGAAGATATTATATGGTACTTGTGACAATTGAGTCGTTCCCCTTCAGCACTATTTTTTTTTTTTTAATGTGTGTTTTTAGAAAGAAAAGGTCAAGTTTGTTTTCTTTTTCTTTTTCTTTTTTTCTTTTTGGTAACATATCACAATCCTTTTCTTGGTCCCCTGTGATATATATTAACACGTAAGGAATAAAAGGAAAGGCCTATAAATATAGAATGTGTGAAGAGTTAGTGAAGTGTGAGAGCGGGCTGAAAAACAAGAAGCAACAAGCCATTGCCACCTTTGGTAAGCTCAATCAGTTTTTGTTTCTTTACCTGAAATGCATGTTTTAAATTTCTTAAACCACAAGAATTAGTGAGATTACAGTGATGAGGAGCAAGAGGTATTACAATATTTAGATATAGGCATTGTGTTCAAGGCTATATATTAGTATTTGTTTAGATGTAGCGCACTTAATGATTATTCAATTCCGTACGTTCAGATATAAAATGGTGACCTTAAAGAAGATAACAAAATAAAACTATTTGCATTTAAAAATAAATTTATCAATATAATTCCACTTTGATTATGAGTACTTACTTCACAGCCTGGGTTATCCCAAATAGACGGATTATTATGTGGTCGAGTATTATTATTCTGAATGTCAGATTAATGTTTGCTTCTTCCTTTTTGGCCACAGATTAGTGCTTACTACTTCACAGGAGGGAAGGTGTATATAGCCAAGTTCAACTGGTATGTAGTGTGTATGATTGATCTCTGTTCCTTTCAACTGAAAATAGTTGTAGTTATGAAGAAATATTGGCCATTAATTGGTAGAAATATTATTACATTAGAGTATCATCACCATGGACCTGCAGAAACAGCTTTAATTGAGTTATGGAAGCGAGGCGCAATTTTAACGACATAGTTGCAGAGCCACTCACGGAAGACAGCAGTGAAGATTGGTTCGAATGGGTTAAGAACTATCTAATATCTCGAGATCTTTGGACAGTGACAAGCAGTAGTAGCGCCAGACCAGAGAGATATCGTGTCAAAGATTTTGCCAAATGGAGAAGAAAGAATGCCGCAGCATTACATGTCATTCGTATCTCTTGTGGGCCTCACAATCAGTCTCTTATAAGAGGGCTCTCTGAAGCCAAACGTGCATGGGACATTCTCTATGATACCTACAATAATGACTATGCACTCTCCCCTGCAACGGCCTCTGCACCGGCCTCTCCTCCAGGTCAGTCCCTTGTATATTTCATTAGCGGTATATGTGGAAAAATCCTTTAGTAATTAGGGCACCAGCTCTCTCACAAGAGTCATCTCCACAAAATTAATTTACTCAAAATATACGGTCCTTCTTTATTTGTAAGGCTACTAACAATTCTCTCATTGCCCTCCTACTCAAAATATAATTCAGCGGTGATTACAGAGTTAACGGAGGCAGAAGGATTAGAGATGAGTAATATGCTCAAGGCCATAGCTGAAAACAACTGGTCGGTTGCAAAAGCATGCATTGATCGCTATCCTCAGGTATTGGACGTAAATTTTGCTACTTCAATGGGCGAAACACCTCTTCATGTGGCTGCAAAGTTTGGGCGTCTGGGCATAGTAGAGGAGTTGGTGAGATTAGTTCCTGAAGAATATCTGGAGATACGCGATGCTTATTATAACAATACTCCGCTTGCAATAGCTGTTTCACATAGTGAACTCATCCCGGTTGCAGCATGCTTGATCATCAAAAATAAAAAGGCACTTGCAATTCCAACTCTTTCCGATTGGGAGATTCCTGTTACCCGGGCTTTTTATTCTGGCCGCAAGGAAATGGGACGTTATCTTTATCGTGTCACTCCTTTGGAAGTCTTCCAACCAGAAAACGGTACTGTGGGGCCTCAGTTCCTCCACGCCTGTTTGAGATGTGGAGAATTAGGTAGCATAACTACTCTTAGATGAATAATTTTATACACAGAGCAATAATATATGCGTTTCATTTTCATTTGGGTTAAGGTATATTTTAGTCCTGAAAGTTTTCAGGAAGGAATTATAGGTGTCCAGAAATATTTTTTGAAGCAATGTGGCTTCAGAAGTGGCAAACTCGTAGCAAGGTCGTCATATTTCAACGGAGTTGAACGGTCAACTGTTAGTTGACCAATTTGTGTTGAGGTGGATCTGCCATATAGGATAGTACGCCACGTAATAAAAGTGAAATACCAAACATGTCCCTTTCTTCTTCCTCCTCCACCACACGTTCTTTGGGAAGAAACCAAAAACAAATGTAGATCTGAATATTTCCGGGCTTACCTTCATCCCTTACTGTTCAAGCTCTTGCTCTGTTTTTATGTTTTTTTTAAAAAATATTTCTGGGTTTATATTCATGTTTGCTGTTTGGTTTTGAATTTGGATTTCAAAATCTATTGTGAATTTTTTGTTGATTTTAATTAATGAAGTTCATAATAGTGAGCCTTCTGTATTTGGAGAGCTATTGTGAAGAGCTGAAGATACCCATAAATATCATAATCAATCCAAACTGCCATTGCTGTGTGAAATTTTGGCCGACACTGGTGCTATGCCAGAGTCTCTTTGATGATCTTAAAATTTCTCTATGACATGCTTGAGTCTCCCGTATGAATGGCATTTTGAAATACTCCAATTAGTTGAGACTTGAGTCTCCTGAAGCGATTAAGAGCAAAGATACGAAGGTTGCTGTAGGTTGTCGAGGAGGATAGTGAGAATAACTAAGAGCAGGGGCACGAATATCTAGAAAGAAGATGAAGAAGCCATGGAATGATCTAGACTAAAATTCTCCATGGTGCGGATGGTGATGATGAAGGGTAGAGATTTGCATTTTTCTAGATTCGTTTTTCTTCTCATATTCGTTAATTGTTGATCTGGGTTTACAGTTTTTTTTTATGGGACTGATGATAATGATGCAGGGGAAAGGTTTCTTTTATTTTTTTTCCAGTAAGGATTGTGATGATGTGGCATGTTATGTGACATAATATTTAGTATGACACATCCACCTCAGTACAAATTGGTCAACGAAAACTTTCAGTACAAAAATGTCATTTTACCCTTTTCATTTTCCCCCGTCAGTTTATACATGTGGCCTTTTTCCATTTCTCATACTGTATGATGTTGGTGCATAAATAGATATTGCCTTGGATTTGCTCCAACGATGCAAGGAGTTGCTTTTTACTACTGACGCAAACAAGCACCCAACAATTCAGAATATTGCACTGTTAAGTCAACTTCTGGACATAAGTCAACTTCTGTTCTGGAAGCGATGGCTGTATCACTGTTAGTGCATATTATTACTTTAATTACTTTCTACTACTCTCTGTTTTTCCCTACAATTTTCTTTATGCTGTTTGCTCATTTTGATTATGACGATGAGGATAAAGATGGTGAAGATGAAGTTATTTTAACTGCCACTGGTATTCATCTGCTAAGGCTCTTTGAAAATTTGGTGAAACGTTTATGAAGTGTTTCCAAAAATAATGTTGGCAAAATTCCAAAAATACAATTTATGCAATTAACTCTCAATTTAATGGAAAATATTATCTCTTACTTTATTATTATTTTTTTGCAACTATTATTTCTGTCTTTATGTTTCATTCAAAACAATCCCTCAATTTATTAGGAGGTGGCGGCAATTAATTGACACTATTTATGTAATTTACTTGTAGTTTCTAGTTATTTGTTGCAATATTATTCGAAGAAGCTTATGTGTTCCATTTCTTTGGTCACATTTGGGTGGAAGACATCAAAATACCATCAACCACAACCACTAGGCATTTCTACGTAGATATTCAGCAAGAAGGCGAGAGCAACCAAGCTGGTCAAGGTACAAAATTCTCTCTCACTTTAGAAGATGAAATCAAGTAATATTATATAACTATTATTATAGAACATCGATTATACAATGTAAAGTTACGTTTTTCAATATATTCATTATACATACCAAAATCCATGTCAACAGGCCTAGGTCTATTCCATTGGCCCATCTCCAGCATCTACAATTTGTTAGGTACGTAAGTGTCCCAAAAAGTGGCCCGGCCCAGAACTTAAATTAGATGCCTTTAATATTTTAATTCTATTTGATTTACGAATGGTGCAGGAATCAAGAAAATATATGAGATGAAGGTGCAGCATGCAAAAGCAGCTGAAATTCTAAACTTAGTTTGTGAGAATCTGAGACATTTGAATAAAGCAAAGAAGAATATGTTTGAAAAAGCACTGATATCTGTATCTAAAGTAGAGAATGTTGAGTTTTTGTTGCGAGTAACAAAGGCAAACACAGAATTAATAACGCTACTCAGTTGTGGTGGTTCAAACTTGCCCATTTTCTTCCATGCTGTTAAATATCGTAGAGCTGAGATTTTCAACCTCCTTCGTGGTTTTCGCTTTAAGAATGTGGTGGCGTCAATAGTTGATGGCGAGACCTCAAATACCTTGCTGCATGTGGCAGCCCTGTTGGCTCCTTCTTCCTACCTTAATGGCATCCCTGGTGCCGCATTACAGATGCAGAGAGAACTGCAATGGTTCAAGGTTATTAAGAAGTGAAATTTAATGCTTTTAATTTCCTTCGATACTTTGTGTCTTTCATTAATTGCTTATTATGTATTTATTTTCTGTAAGCATAGGCTGTTGAGAGTATGGTGGATCCTGTAGATAGGCTAGCTGTAAACAAGATGGGGCTGAACCCCATAGAATTATTCAGAGAAAACCACACAGACCTGAGGACTGAAGGAGAAAAGTGGATGAAGGAAACAACGTCTTCTTGCTCGGTTGTTGGGGTTTTAATTGTTGGCATCATGTTTGCTGCAGCTTTAACAGTTCCCGGAGGAAACAATGAGGATTCAGGGTACCCAATACTTATGAAGGAGAAGTTATTTAAAGTTTTCTTAATTTCAGATGTACTTTCCTTGTGTTCGTCCACTATATCTCTTCTCACATGTTTAGGAATCGTCACATCACGCTATGCAGAAGAAGACTTCCTTTACTCGCTTCCTACAAAATTGATAATAGGTCTTTCTATGCTGTTTCTTTCTATTGCAACCATGATGATTTCCTTTTTAGCAACCATAATGATCATGGTGCAATATAATTTTTCACGTTTATGGGTTATTGTAATTGTTACTGTGGTTGCTGGTGTTCCAATAACCCTCTTTGTATTATTACAATTCCCTCTTCTTGTTGAAGTATTCTTGTCTACTTATGGTCCAGGCCCCTTCAAGAAGGTGGATGAGTGGCCATGAACTGTGCATGTAATTATTTCACATCTTAGCATAGTATGTATTATTTCCTAGAGGATGAAATTAAATATGTACTTTATATATTTTCTGTTGAATAAGAAATTTCTGATCCCCTTGAATCTTGTCACGTAAATAAAGCATCTGGTTTTATTTTTAGCCTAATCGTATCATCATGCTTTGCACATCTAGATGAGGTGAACAACGTTAGGAGCTCATTATTGAATCTGCAAGAGGGTCCGTTTTCATGGCCATCTGCAAGCTTCATGTATGTGTTTGTACGCAGAGTAGGTTTTCACCGTAGGTTCCGATTTTGTTGTTAAAATACTGTCACATAAATATATTTTATAGAAGATCCTATTGTCCTTTGACCATTTTTCTCCTATTATTTTCGGAATGTCTGACTTTTCTTAATTATTTAATAATGAATTATTCCAGCAAATTCCAACAAAAGTGATGAGGTGCATGTGGTGACTGCTCAACAGTTAAACTTCGATTTGATTCCCACCGGTAAACCGCTGTAACTTGTCAACAAATTGATCCGGTGGGACCGCCAGCCACTGCCCCAAAAGTATAAGGCTTGAGTCTAGCCTTAACATATTTACGCCCATATATTTTAATTATATAAAATTAAAATAAGAAATTAAAATAATTTGAAAAAGATCCACCGTCTCTGATCATAATTGTTTCCTATTTCATTTTACACAATTTTCTACCACCATTTAGGAAAAAATAAAAAATTAGATAAAAATTCAAATAATATGAAAACGCAGCACAATCTTTCATTCACGTACTTGTGTTAATAAAGAAGCATTATTTATGTTCACCCAAAAAAGAGGAGCATTATTTATGAAAAAACTTTGTAGCAATGACAAATTAAAACCGGCAAAAACTGTTTCGTTTTAATTTTACCCAACTGTTTCAGGTTGTTGGAGGAGAAAAATAAATTTTGAACTCTCTTAAAACACTGAAAGATTTGTTTTATATATGAAGTAAAACAACAGTTATATGTAGTTGTTTTTAAATGTCAGAAGCATGATTGAATCAACACAGATAAAATTAAAAAAATTAATTTGTATGAAATATAATATTAGTATAATATGAATATCTGATACATTAACTTTTTATTGAACGAAAACTGAAAATAAAACGAAACTACCAATAATATTTTTGATTATTATGGAAAACACATAACAACAATTTCTTAAGATATAGAGATTATTACTATCCTCAATTTTTAGTTATTTATAGTATTATTCAAAAATAAAAGTGATTATGAAGAATGTTTAATATAATTCGAGGAATAACAAGATTTTTTTTAACGTAATTAAGTACATCGATACCTTTCGGCTAAAAAAATTACATTAAAACCTATTAATTAATGGTTGAAATAATAAAAAGTTTTGTTATTTTAAGTTATTTCTAATTAAAAATAATTGTATTGAACAAGGGCACATATTCTGTTTAATTTGCACAAATTCAAACAGGCACAAACAGTCAAATGTGATGCATAATTTTAGAACTTTGGTGCAAAAATTACTAAAAACAAGATTTGCATAACAAGATGGGGAAATTTCTATAACAGGAACTTCCAAATTACTAAATCTCAAATAAAAAATTCCTACAAAAATGTGTTATTATTTAGTAGTAAAAAAACTGAGTTAAGATGTATTCAACACTCCGAAATATTTTCTCGGATGTGTCTAGCTCTCTAAAATATTTTGTAGTACATTCAGTACCTTGAAGTGTTTTCTCGGATATGTCCAGCACCGTGAATTTTTTTCTGCATCTAACATCTCAAAATATTTTTTTTAGATGCATCCAATGTCCAAAAATATTTTTTGGTGCATCCAGCATCAAAGCAAAAAAAAAAATTTCAGAATATTGGATACACCTAAAAAATACTTTAAGGTGCTAGATGCATATAAGAAAATATTCCAGGATACTAAATGCACTTTAACCCAAAAACTATTAAAGTATAGGAAACAATTCTGATTTGAGATTAGTAATGTTTATGTTCCTTGTGTAAGATTTTCTCTAGAAGATATGCCGCATTTTAGTGAATTGATAATCTTCAATTCAAGTCCAAGTCGGTTGCTTCACCAATGCTTCAGATTATGCCACGTCAGCGTTCCCCCGTCTCTTAGACACGTTTGCCTTCTGTTTCCATTCCCTTCTCTTTCTTTTTTTCCTCCCCCCCCCCCCCAAAAACCATTTTCCTTGTTCTTGCCTGCTTGAGATCTACTGGGTTCAATTTAAAGGAAATTAAAAAGCATATGGTGCTTTCATTCCTCCAGGGAAAGAATAGACTCAAGCCCACAGTTATATAATACTTTCTTGTGCAAACGTTGGTTAGACCGGCCGGTTTTAGTTTTAAATGCTCTCATCTAAGGTGTAGAAGCTAATTAAAGATTGATTTTAATTCTAAATATATAATTTTAATACACTTTATCTCTCATATTTATTATTTCTTTTTAAACTACCTGAATTGATTGATACTCACTCGATTAGCAGTATTACCAATCAAATTCAAATAGATACAAGACATATTCTATACATGTGTATTTTAGAAAAAATCATGTCAATAATTAGTAATCATTAATTAATTTATCCAATTTTCTTAATATATTCAAATTAGTAGTTAAGTAGCTTTTGCATTAAAAACTCAATGAAGAGCATTAAATATTTTGAACCATAAGAAATAATACGACAATGACTATAAATTTAAAATGCGTCTGGAGTAAGTGAACTATGAGGCAACTGCAAAAGAAGATACAATATGGTAGTTAAGAAAGTTGAGTTGTTCCCCAACATCACTATCTTTTTTAATGCGTACATGCTTTTTCAAAGGAAAAGTCAAGTTTGTTTTCTTTTTCTTTTTCTTGGTGGTAACATATCACGATCTTTTTCTTGATCCTCTATCATATATTGAATATCTTAAACCATACGAACACGTAAGGAATAGATAAACGAAAAGTCAGTGAAGAGTCAGTGAAGTGCGAGGGCAAGCTGAAAAAGAAGTAACAAGCCACTGCCATCACAAATTCACGTGGAGGAAGAAAGAAGTAAGCGCAATTAATCTTTGTTTATTTTGCTGAAATGTGTATTTTATTTTCACAAACTGAAAGAATTGATGATTAAATACAGTGATGAGGGGAGAGAAGTACAAGATTTAGATTTGAGTATTGTGTTGGGGCCATGTTATTAAAAACTTCCAGCGTATCTTCTTTATGTCTAGAACAAAATTAAAGCATGTTTCAGTATTATTATTAGGCAACACCTGAGCCAATTCCTAGCTGAACCTCGATACCAGTACTGGGTGCCAACTCATTGGATTCACTCATTCTCATTTGATTTATCTATATCCTTCCTCTTAATTATGCATATGAATATATATTTTAAATTTTTAATGCATATGTGCTGGTTGTTGATTCCAGTGATGCAGGCAGACGAATTAGAGATGGCTAATTTGAACAAGGCCATATTTGAGAACAACTGGTTCGAAGCAAAAGCAGTCATTGATCGCCATCCTAAGGTATTGGACGTAGAGTTTGGAGTTTCAAGAGGCGAAACACCTCTTCATGTAGCTGCAAAGTTCGGGCATGTGGGCATAGTAGAAGAATTGACGCAACTAGTAGAACCAGAATATCTTGAAATATGGGATTATTATGGCTATACTCCACTTGCAACAACTGCCAAATATACGGGATCCATTCCAATTGCAAAATGCATGATAAACAAAAATAGCAATGCACTTATAGTTGAAGCTCAGCGGCCTTGGCTGATCCCTGTTACCTTGGCTTTTTTCTGTGGCCGCAACAAATTTGGACGTCATCTCTATTCTGTCACTCCTTTGCAAGTCCTCAAAGCAGAAGACGGCTCTGCTGTGGGTCCTGGGTTTCTCCGAACCTATTTGAGAATTGGAGAATTTCGTAACATAATTTTTAGATATATAATTTCATTCGCAAAGCACAATATATGTTTTGGGGAAAAATTGCACACAATAACCCTTGGATTTTCCTTCAACTATATGGGCTTTCCTTTTATTTTTATATTCTCCTATCCTAAATACAAGACTCATTTTTATTTAGAACCAGAGGAATACCGTGTTTCTATTCATCCTGAAAATAGGGATGTCTGTATAACTTAACAACACCGTATCCAGCAGATACGTGTGCTTTATTCTTTGTTTTTTTTTTTTCCGAGTGTCCCTCCAATTTAGATTAAATAATATAGCAGAGAAACACAAGGTTCAAGAGCTTATTAGTACTATACCTTAAACAATAACATGGGTGAAATTGGAAAGTAGCCATTAATGAGTTATGTGGTTGGAGACTTATATTGAGAATAAAAAATTGCCTCTAGAAAATGCCCTGTACTAAAAACCAAAGGGAGTTAGGAAAATCCACTATGTATAGAACACGTTGGAAAGTGTAAACAACAAGTTTGCCAAGAGTTTTAGGTATAGTTTTGCGGGAACTCTAAATCCATAATTATATGCATTTAGGAATGTGTAAGTTCTTTGACTAAAAATTAAAAGACTCCTCCTTTGCTTCTCTCTTCCAAGCTTATCCTTTAATTTAGTTAATTTTGTCATTTTGCAAGATGATTGCTTCAAGATTTTCCAAAATCTATCTTCTTAATCACTTGCAGCGGACAATAACTCTAGCCTACATATATTTACAAGTAGTGTCGTCTTCTGATCGATAGTTCATTGTTATAGTCATTGTGAGCATAATAACAATACTCCCTCCATCCCATATTATAAGCAACTTTGTACTAGATTACGTAAATCAAAGTAGTAATTAAAATTAGTTAAAAATAATAAATATGTAAAAATTAAAAATTCTCTCCAAAATACCCTCATTTATGATTGGAGAATAATGAAAGAGAAAGAATGGTAGTTGTTGCTTATATTATGAAAGAGAGAGAATGGGAGGATTATTTATTAAGGATAAAATAAAAAATTTGTTATAAAAATTTAAGACAACTATTAAAAATTACTTATATTCTAGGAAAAGATGAAGATGGTAATTGTTGCTTATAATATGGGACGAAGGGAGTATTACTTATTATAACTACCCTCCATCCAACAATAACATAAGATATCTTCTGAAATTTTTCATGGTCCATTATTAGGCTCTTTGAAAATTTGGTGAAACGTTTATGACGTATATTTCCAAAAATAATGTCGGCAAAAAAATTCTAAATATATTATTTATGTAATTAACGCTCAATCAATCGGAAGATATTATCTTTGACTTTTTCATAGAAAACAATCCCGCAATCCATTAGGAGGTGGCGGTAATTAATTAATACTATTTATATAATTTACTTGTGCTTCTAGTTTTTCTTAATTCTATTTATAAATAACCTTATTAAATTTTTAACATAAATATAATAGTTTGTCCAGTATTTATTATAGTGTAGATAGTTTATTTTTAGATATAGTATTTCTACTAAATAGGGATAATATTGAAAAATTACTATATTTTAAAGGATGAGTTAATACAATTTAATTTTTTTCAGTTTGTTTTTGTTGTTGGATGAATTGTGTATTTTAACTTCTCAGTACGCAAGAATTGGTGATTATAGTGATGAGTTGAAAGAGGTACAAGACTTAGATATGGGTATTTTGTGTTTAAGTTTAAATCATGGTGGGGCACTATATGATTATATAACAATCATGGTCGGTCTTCCTACATTATTTCCGTCCATTATAACCATCTATTGAATAAAAATTCTCCTCGTGAATCTTAATGTGTAATAAACCAACTGCTTTTATTTTTAGCCAAAGTCTGATTTGCGGATATCAGCCCATATTTAGAACATGCACGGCTGTGTCCATCAGAGCCTTTCTAATTAAACAGAGTATACCCGCTGACAGAACACAACGAGATTCCATCATATCCCACGAAGTTCTTTCTTAACAGGAGTAAAATTGATCAGATTAAAAAAATTCTTCACTCGCTTTATCAGCTTCATATATATACACCCATTACTTCTGATCCTAAATATAAGATCTAGTTTATAACGTAAATTAAAAAATACAAATTAAAATTATAGAATAAACTAATTTTTATTTAAAATCAGAAGTTGTGTCCGTGTATATATATTTAAAGAAGTATGTAAATATTTTATAAAATATCCATGTCAACAGGGCCAGGTCTACTCCGCTCATCTCCAGCCAGCATCTATAATTTGTGTTCTTAAGACATTGAAAGATTTCTTTTATGGGGGATAAAAACGGTCATAAGTATTTAATTTTAAACATCAAAAGCGTGACCGAACGAACATAAATTCAATGCACTAAAATAAGAAATTCATTTATACTGAATATAATATTGCTAGAATATGAATATTGGATACATTAATTACTTATTGAATAAAAACTTCAAATAAAATGAAATGACCAACATTGATTATTAAAAAAATGCATAACAAATTTTTTAAAATATTGAAATTAACAATACTCTCAACGTTTAATTATTTACAGTATCATTTATAAATAATGTTTAATAGTTTAACTTGTGAGTAATTAAAATAATTACAGACTTACAGCCAATAAGTGCATATGTTCAAATCTGAGCCGTTATCCTTTCCGCCCGCCAACGCTCCAAAGCATGCCACGTCATCCAGTGTGAAAACGTTTTCCACGTTAATAGTGTGCTCATCCCTTTGAACAGCATTATAAACTTATCAATTTGGATAATCACATCTTATTTTGATGGTCTACGTTTAATTTTTTATTTATTCAAAATACTTATTTTAATATATATAAAATAAAATAGAGATAACCTCCTAATTATATTTTTTAAAAAAATAATTTTTATTTAAAAATAATTAATTAATTATTTTAAATATTTATTGTTTAAATTAGATATAAACTGCAGAAATCGGATAAGTTTAAGAAGTTATGTTTCCTGATTGGACTCATTTAGAACAGCTTACAAATAGTTTTTTAATAATGATTTAAAGAATACAAGACAAGTATTTGAGAGGAGTTTTACCTTGAAACGTACGTATAAGAAATTTTTTAAACCCCCAAACAGGCCCTTAAGGTTTATCGTGCTCATGGTTGTATAGATAAATAACTTTTCTCTCCCTTTCCCTCATTATCTCTCGTCCTCAGTTTCGAAAGCCTCTCACACTCATTCTCCTCTCCGCCGGTCGAAAGCAGAGCGTTGCAGCCTCTTCACTTTGACATCCGTCAGATCTTCACTATCACATCCGTCGCATCTCCACCGTGAACGCCGTCCAGTGCTGGGACCCTAAATATGCCATTTGTAATGCAGTAGCAGTCAGTCCAGTGATGCGCACAATGAAGGAGAAGCCGATGGTTTGTTAGTTCCCTTTTGCTGTTCCCAACCTACTGGTTTGGGCTCCTCCACTTACCCATCAGTCTAAGGCTTCTCACCAGTCGCATCGTCGCGTGTTCGATTTCGCGTCTGCATATCTAAGCATCTTGTATTATTGGTTGATTCCCCTCCACGACCCTCACCAGTAACGTTTCGGGGTTCTCTTATTCGATTGCCAAAATTGATTGTGCGTTTTATTCTCCCTTGATCCCATCTTGATTATTTACTGCTGAGATTCTTAATATTTCTTTTCTGTATGATACTCAAGACCTATTTAACTATTTAATTAATTTGATTAAATTAAAAAAGTTAGATAAGATAGTTGATTATAAAAAATATAACATGTTTTTTTTAAAATATCATAATTATTTTTTTAATATCCTCTTTTTTTTTTTTGCTTGATTATGGTTCTGTGAAATTCATAAGAATAATTTAAAAAATTAATAAATATGAAAAATATGTCTTATATTTAGGATCAAAATCAACTTAACAATTAAATTGGAGGAGTATGAATTAAGGTTTTAAAATATATTTCAGTATTTAAATTCCGTTTTTTCATATTAAAATAATTCAAATTAATTGTATTGTTTAAATTTATTTTTATCATTTTTTATTGTTTAAAAAAATTTATATCTATTTTGATAATTTTATAAATTAAACTTATTTTTTAATCATAATCCAAACAATCTTCTACTCCATTTAATTTTTATAAATTAACTTTTATAGAATCTAATCCAAACATAATTTATATCACTTAATTTAATTTTTACCCAATCTAATTTTTCTAAAAAAAATAAATTAAAAATAAGTTATTTTTTCATCCTAATCCCAACAAACCCAAATTATTGGATTCTGATTGTCATGGCCACAGATATCAAATAAAGATGTAAGCTCGCGTCGTGGCAAGAGAGAAGATAAGATAGCACGTTGGATTACCGGCTCCTTTCCACTTCACCCACTTTGAAAAGGTTTTCCGCTATACTTATTTTTTGCCTTTAGAAAAAGTTAAGCACTCCTTTTCTTTTCCTTTTGGCAACACATCAATTCAATTATGCTTTCTTCTTACTTAGTGCTCTTTTCTTTTTTCTTTTACCTTTCATGCATTAGTACATTTCAATTTGCAGAATATTAAAAGGATAGTGATTAATTGAAGTTCATAGCTATAATGGTGGTTTAATAAATTTTAAAGTTTTAAGTTCATAATTTGTGCTTATTTAATATTTATAAAACTTATTATTTTATAGTTTTTTAAGTTATTTTATAAAACTTAAATTAATATTTCAATGGTTATAGATCTGTCATCATGATATAAGCGGCCTGAATTTTGCTACCTAGGGCTTTGAAAATTAATATTTTATAGTTTGGATGACTCGTGTGTTCTGTTCCGAAAAGTGGCACCTGGTGGGGGCAACACTTTTGAAAATTTGAATTTTGAAAGTCCATTTGGAAATTAGAGGTATGATTAATGCTTACATTTTCTTTGTTGGTCAATAATTAGCGCTTACTTTGCGACCTGCATCATTCCACCATAATCATATCATGTGAAAATATTCCAAAAAACTATCCATTTTATTTATTATTAGTATTATTTTGTGCTGATTAGGAGGCTCAAATTTTCACCGTCTGCAACATAGCAGCTTTAGTTAATTGAGCTATGGAAGGAAGCCGCAATTTTAACGACATAGTTGCAGAGCCACTCACGAGAAACAGCAGTGCTGATTGGTTCGAATGGGTTAAGAACTATCTGATATCTCGAGATCTTTGGGAAGTGACGAATAGTAGCGCAAAACCAGACGAAGATGATTTGGAAGGGTTTCCTAAATGGAGAAGAAACAATGCTGCAGCATTGCACGTCATCCGTATCTCTTGTGGACGTCCCAATCACTCCCATATAAAAGGGGTCTCTAAAGCCAAAGATGCATGGGACATTCTCTATGAGACCTACAATAATAATGCGCCGGCCTCTGCACCGGCCTCTGCAACGGCCTCTGCACCGGCTTCTCCCCGAGGTCAGTGCCTTATATATTTCATTAGTGGTATATGTGGAAAAATCCTTTAGTAATTAGGGCACCAGCTCTCTCACAAGAGTCATCTCCACAAAATTAATTTACTCAAAATATACGGTCCTTCTTTATTTGTAAGGCTACTAACAATTCTCTCATTGCCCTCCTACTCAAAATATAATTGAGTGCTGATTACAGAGTTAACGGAGGCAGAAGGATTAGAGATGAGTAATATGCTCAAGGCCATAGCTGAAAACAACTGGTTGGCTGCAGAAGCATCCATTGATCGCTATCCTCAGGTATTGGACGTAGATTTTGCGGAGTCAATGGGCGAAACACCTCTTCACGTGGCTGCAAAATTTGGGCATCTGGGCATAGTAGAGGAGCTGGTGAGATTAGTTCCAGAAGAATATCTGGAGATACGCGATGCTTACTGGGGCAATACTCCGCTTGCAATGGCTGCTTCACTCAATGAACTCATCCCAGTTGCAGCATGCTTGATCAGCAAAAATAAAAAGGCACTTGAAATTCCATCTAATAAGTACGCTTGGGAGATTCCTGTTAACTCGGCTTTTTATTCTGGCCGAAAGAAAATGGGACGTTATCTTTATTCTGTCACTCCTTGGGAAGTCTTCAGACCAGACAACGGCGGTACTGTGGGGCCCCTTTTTCTCCAAATCTGCTTGAAACTTGGAGAATTAGGTAGCATAACTACTTTTAGATAAATAATTTTATACACAGCATAATAATATATGTGTTTCATTTTCGTTTCGGTTAAGGTATATTTTAGCCCTGAAAGTTTTCGCAAAGAAACTATGGGTATCCAGAAATACTTTTTGAAGCAATGTGGCTCTGGAAGTGGCAAATCGTAACAATGTCGCCATATTTGAACGGTGCTAAACGGTCAACTGTTAGTTGACCCATTTGTGTTGAGGTGGATCTACCATATAGGATAGTAAGCCACATAATAAAAGTGAAATACCAAATATGTCCCTTTCTTCTTCCTCCTCCACCACACGTTCTTTGGGAACAAACCAAAAACAAATGCAGAGCTGAATATTTCTAGGCTTACCTTCATCCCTCACTGTTCAACCTCTTGTTCTGTTTTTATTTTTCTAATATTTCTCGCTTTATAATCATGTTTGTTGTTTGGTTTTGAATTTGGATTTCAAAATCTATTGTGATTTTTTTTGTTGATTTTAATTAATAAAGTTGGTCATAGTGAGGCTTGTGTATTCGGAGAGCTACTGTGAAGAGCTGAAGATACCCACAAATATCATAATCAATTCAAACTGCCATTGCCGTGTGAAATTTTGGCCGACACTGATGCTATGCCAAAGTCTCTTTATGATCTTAAATATTCTCTATGACATGCCTGAGTCTCCCGTATGAATGGCACTTTGAAATACTCCAATTAGTTGAGATTTGAGTCTCTTGAATCAATTCAGAGTAAAGATGCGAAGGTTGCTGTAGGTTGTCGAGGAGGATAGTGAGAATAACTAAGGGCAGGGGCGCGAATATCTAGAAAGAAGATGAAGAAGCCATGGAATGATCAAAACTAAAATTCTCCCTGGATGCGGATGATGATGATGAAGGGTAGAGATTTGCATTTTTCTAGATTTGTTTTTCTTCTCATATTGGTTAATTGTTGATCTGGGTTTGAAGTTTTTTTTATGGGACTGATGATAATGATGCAGGGGAAAGGTTTCTTCTTCTTTTTTTTTTTTCCAGTAAGGACTGTGATGATGTGGCATCTTTTGTGACATAATATTTAATATCACAGATCCACCTCAGTACAAATTGGTCAACGAAAACTTTCAGGACAAAAATGTCATTTTTCCCTTTTCATTTTCCCCTGTCAGTTTATGATGTGGCATGTTAGAGCTTTTTTCCATTTCTCATACTATATGATGTTGGTGCATAAATAGATATTGCCTTGGATTTGCTCCGACGATGCACGGAGCTGCTTTTTGCTACTGACATAAACGAGGACCCAACAATTCAGAATATTGCCAGCTATATTCATCCTTCTCTAGACATAAGTCGACTTCCGTTCTGGAAGCGATGACTGTATCACTGTTAGTGCATATTATTAATTTCTGTTTTTCCCTACAATTTTCTTTATGTTGTTTGCTCATTTTAATTATACACTAGCCAAAATGGTGAATTATGATGATGAGGATAAAGATGGTGAAGATGAAGTTATTTTAACTGCCACTCGTATTCATCCACCAAGGCTCTTTGAAAATTTGGTGAAACGTTTATGAAGCTTTTCCAAAAATAATGTTGGCAAAATTCCAAAAATACAATTTATACAATTAACCTTCAATTTATTGGAAAATATTATCTCTGACTTAATTATTATTTTTTTGCAACTATTATTTCTAACTTCATGTTTCAAACAAAACAATCCCTCAATTTATTAGGAGGCGGCGGCAATTAATTGATTCTATTTATGTAATTTACTTGTACTTTCTAGTTATTTCTTGCAATATTATTCGAAGAAGCTTATGTGTTCCATTTCTTTGATCACATTTGGGTGGAAGACATCAAAATACCATCAACCACAACCACTGGGCATTTCTACGTAGATATTCAGCAAGAAGGCGAGAGCAACCAAGCTGGTCAAGGTACAAAATTCTCTCTCACTTTAGAGGATGAAATTAATTAATATTATATTACTATTATTATATAAAATAGATTATACAATGTAAAGTTACGTTTTTCAATTTATTCATTATACATACCAAAGTCCATGTCAACAGGCCTAGGTCCATTCCATTGGCCCATCTCTAGCACCATCAATTTGTTAGGTACGTAAATGTGCCAAAAAGTTTTCCCAGAACTTAAATTGGATGCCTTTAATATTTTAATTCTATTTGATTTACGAATGGTGCAGGAATCAAGAAAATATATGAGATGAAGGTGCAGCATGCAAAAGCACCTGAAATTCTAAACTTAGTTTGTGAGAATCTGAGACATTTGAATGAAGTAAAGAAGAAAATGTTTGAAAAAGCACTGATATCCGTACATGAAGAAGAGGGTGTTGAGTTTTTGTTGCGAGTAACGAAGGCAAACACAGAATTAATAATGCTAGTCATTTATGGTGGGTCCCGCTTGCCCATTTTCTTCCATGCTGTTAAGTATCGTAGAGCTAATTTTCAACCTCCTCCGTGGTTTTCAATTCAAGAATATGGTGGCGTCAATGGGTGAGAGCGCGACCTCAAATAGCTTGCTGCATGTGGCAGCCCTGTTGGCTCCTTCTTCCTACCTTGACAGCATCTCTGGTGCTGCATTGCAGATGCAAAGAGAGATGCAATGGTTCAATGTTAGTTAGAGGTGAAATTTAATGCTCTTTCCTTCGATATTGTGTCTTTTATTAATTACTTATTATGTATTTATTTTCTGTCAAAATAGGCCATCGAGAGGGTGGTGGATCCTGTACATAGGCTAGTTCTAAACAAGGACTCGTTGATACCTCTAGAGTGTTTCAAAAGAAACCACAAAGAGCTTAGGGCTGATGGAGAAAAATGGATGAAAGAAACAGCATCTTCTTGCTCAGTTGTTGGGGCTCTAATTGTTACCATCATGTTTGCGGCAGCTATAACAGTTCCCGGAGGGAACAATCAGAATTCAGGATACCCAATATTTATGGAGGAGAAGTTATTTGAAGTCTTTTTAATTTCAGATGCACTTTCCTTGTTTTCTTCCACAACTTCTGTGCTCACATTTTTAGGGATCCTCACGTCTCGCTATACTCATGAAGACTTCCTTTACTCACTACCCAAAAAATTGATAATAGGTCTTTCTACACTTTTTCTGTCTATTGCAACTATGATGATTGCCTTTTCAGCAACCATAATGATCATGTTGGAGTATCACTCATCACGTTTATGGGTTATTTTTTTTGTTTCTATACTTGCTAGTATTCCAATAATCCTCTTTGTATTACTGCAATTTCATCTTCTTGTTGAAGTATTTTGGTCTACTTATGGTCCAGGCCTCTTCAAGAAGAAGGTGGTGAGGTGGCCATAAACTGTGCATGTAATTTATTCGCATCTTGCTATATATGTATTATTTTTTGTTGAATAAAAATTTTTTTCTTGAAGCTTAATCGGTTAACAATGCAATTACTTATATTCAGAACATAAATATATATTGATGTAATTATCCCAAATTAATTGGATTAATCAATTGACAAGACTTGGCTATATATGTGCGGATGAATTATTTATTTTTAACGGGAACAAATCAGACGATGAAATGGGTCCAGCCCAAACCAAACCAAAGGCGTCACATAGGCCTAATACACTCATGGGCCCACGGTACTTTATAGTTACGCTTAAGAAAAAATTTAAAGAATGATGGAAGTCCTTCCCTAAAATTATTTATTAGGTTCTGTTATACTAAGATCTATGTAAGTACGTGCTTCACATCTTATTACTTCATGTATTTTCTGTTGAATAAGAAATTTCTGATCCCTTTGAATCTTATCATGTAAAGCACCATGCATGAACATTGATAATGTTGTGACTATAGCAGGAATACAGATGGGCCTATTATAGTTTGAATCCAAATAAGGTTGAACAATTTAAATTTAAATTAATAAAAAATTTAATCTTATTCGTGAGCATTTTTTTCATCAATAATAAGAAATAAAGTTATGGTTGAGATTTTTTAAATTCAAATTTAAGAGATCAAAATCATCAATGCAATAAACGGAAAATTTTATATTATTTTTTTAAAATATTCAATGATTAATATCACAAAAAAATTACTATCACTCCTTGGCTCTCTTGGTGTGTGAGAGAGTACCCCGTCAAATTAAAGCCTCAAAAATCAAGCTGCTAATGATCATTCCTTTCAAGATATCATTGATGACTGTTTTCATAAGTTTCGCACATATAGAGAATGTAAAAAGCTCTGCTAATTATGTAACTACATAGGGTCTTGAAATTATAAGATCGTTAATAATGGGTTTTCCAAAAAAATTAAAAATGGGTAATATGGTCATTTAAATAATCTTTAAAATCCCTATTTAGACTTATTTAATTAAAAAGGAATTTTTATTATTCAGATAACTATTTGGAGATTTTTAAATTTAGCTGTTATTTTTCTATCATTTTCCCAAATTTCAATTGTGCAAAAAGCTAGAGTTCAATTTTTTTAAATTCAAATTTTTTGCCAGATTTTATCAATTCAAATTTATGAGATTAAAATTATTAATATGTAAGATTTATTAAAATCTCCAATTAATTAATATGACAAAAAATCACAGTATGTGTGTGATAGAGAGAGAGAGAGAGAGAAGATCCGCGGGATCGTATAGTCATCCAATGTTACCGGAATGAGAGAGCAAGAGAGTAGAAGGAATAATAGTGAGACGAAACTGGGAGAGAAAACAATTGAGCTTTCTCATTGTCCCCCCCCCCCCCCGGCCAATCCACATGACTTCAACTTTTTGTTTTTGCCAGCATATGCCTTTAACTATTGAAGTAAAGAAATAAAGAAATAAAGAATAATATAATGACATTAATCATAAGAAACTTTCTCTGATCATTTATTGGAGAGGTTACATGTTTAGAACATTCAAGATAAATAATCCTAAAACTCAAGGTGATGGACATTTACACATGTAATGTTTATCCTCCCTCCAGTTCAAAATGTAACACATTAGTTAAGCTTTCTGGCAAATGAAGGAATATTGATTAAATTATTAATTTGTTTTAAATTAATAAAAGTTACCTATTTTACTCTTATTATGGAATGTGATAGAGAAATTCTTTCATCTCTTTTCTTCATTTAAAACTGTCTTTCCTTTTGCGATAAAAGCTAAAGATAAAAATTTATCATTAATTACTCTATCAACCTCTTAATTATATTTTGAACCAAAATTTTCTTCTAAAATACTTCTTATAATTTGGAGAAGAAGGAATAATAAATAGAATCGATAATGTTTTATTAAAATCCTTATTCTTCCTCCATTTTAAAATATAAATCTTTTTTTTTGGGTGAATAAAATATAAATCTTTTAAAATCGAAGTTATGCTTACAAATTTTTTTACCAAAAACAGGAGTGTGTATTATTAATCACCCAAAAAAAAAATCAGAGTACACGAGCAAATAGCCAAAACCAAGAAACGTAAAGAAGACCAAAAGAAAACTCACAGTACGACTTATCAGAAAAAAATTGACAAAAACTATAGAAATTATTGACCACATTACCAAATTTATCCTTAGTTAACGTGATGAATAAATTAAAGTTATTGAAGCAAGTAAGGATATATCAAAATAGTATTAGTAAATAATTCTTCTTTTTTCTTTGGCCGAGTAAATACTTCTTTAAACTTCTAGAAAGACATATAAAACACGAAAATGTTTAAGACTCACCATAATTTGAAAAAGAGGGATATTATTATGATGATTAAAATAAATACTCCTCATTTATTGGAGGATGAAATTAAATTATACTGTCAAAAAAACTTTATATTTTCTTGAAAGCCTAAAGCAACAATCATCTTGAAACAGAACTCGACCCGAGTGAATACATATGCTCCTGCCAGCTGAGATGCTAGGAGCTGCAAATGGTCTAGAACACTGTTGGAATCTGGGAATTAGGAAAGTGGAGGCATGTTGCGAGTAGGCAGGAGCCATCAACCTTTTTCTCTAGAATCAAGCCAATAATCATTCCTTTGAAGATACCATTGATGATACCATCAAAATTTTAGATTGTTTTCATAGATTTTGCATATAGAGAATGTAAAATGTAACTAATTAAACAGTGTCATGAAATTACTGATTTTTTCCCTTGATCTTTGTATTGTTTACCTTCGATTGTGAACGAAGTTTCCGTTTTATTATTCATAAAAGGAAAAAAGATAACCAGCTCCCCAGAAATGACGTTAATATGAATGATAGTACATCAAGCCTTATATTGCTCACAGTCATTAGTCAGCCCCTTGGCCGTGCATTGACTATTGTGTGATCACTGCCATCGGACATTATGAGGCACTTTATGGCCGCGTGACCATGAGGACTGAGAGTAGGTGTACAAGTGTAGTGAAATTA